TTTTTTTGTGGTGTGCGAGGTACTGACGGTGGGTGTGCTCCAAGGCTTGCCCGGGCAGGCGAGATACAAGTTGCCGGAGACCATCTCTGAGTGGCTGCGCATCTGGACGGAGAAGCCCAGATGGGGGAATTACAGTATCTATGAAGACGACTTCTTTTGTTACTGCCCCTACAACCTTCAGTCATATCGCATGACCTGCCATAGTGATATCGCTGTGGCAGTAGGTTGCTATCCCAGCGTCGACATGGAATTGGCGCTTGCGAACATGAATGCAGTCACAGTGCTTGGCGTGATGGAGGCTTATCATGAATCTTATTGTCTGCTTGCGGCCAAACTTTTGGGAACGCTGCCTGGGCACTGCGACTGCCAAGACTTCGACGCATGGAATTCCTACAGCGCGACTCGTGATGATCATGGCGTCCAGCAGGATAAGGGAGTGGCAGGCCTCTCTGCAGAGACCTTGCAGATGATCGACGACATGACTCAGCAGGACCAATTGTCCAAGCCTCAACCAGCGGTATCTCTCTGTGTGTGTGTGCTCGCTGGTCTGGGTGCGCACGCGTGCTGCGTGCGCGCGAGTGTGCCTTTGCGTGTTTGCACAAGTGTCCGCAAACGTGCGTGAGTAATTAGTTTTGGGGCTGCATGCCTGCGTGCACGCATGCGTGCATGCAGGTGTTTGTGTGTGTGTGTATGTGCATACGTGTTGCTGTGCCTGTTCATGCTGTGGGTGCCAGTGCAGATGCGTGTGTGCAGGTGTGTGTTTGTGTGCGTGCGCGCACGTGCGTGCGTGCGTGCGTGCGTACGTGCGTTCTTGCATCCGTGTATTTGGGTGTGTGTGTGTGTGCCTGTGTGCGTGGGTGCGTGCCGTTTCTGCCGGCCCATGCGCGCGCGTGCGTGCATGCGTGCGTGCATGAGTGCGTGTGTGTGTGTGTGTGTGTGTGTGTGTGTGTGTGGATGTGCATGCTTTTGCGCTTGTGTGAATGCGTTTGTTTTTGTGTGCGTGTGTGTTGATGTGTGTGTGTGTGGATTGTGCGTGTGTTTGTGTGTATGTGTGTGTGTGCGTGTGCGTTTGAGCTTGGGCGGGCGCATGTGTGTGTGTGTGTGTGTGTGTGTGCGTGCTCATGTGTTGAATTATGTATGTGTGCGTGTTTGCTTGCTTGTTTGCATATGTTTACCCGCCGATGTGTGTTTGTGTTGTTCATTTGCTTGATTTGATGGAATTGTCAATTTTATCTTGCTTTGCTTGCTAGCCTTGTTGTTTCGTGTGTGTGCTTGCTTTCTTGCTTTCTTGTTTGCTTGCTGTGATGGAATGGCTTGCTATGTATTTGTTGTTGCTTTGCATTGGTTTGATTCATTGGTTTACGTTGTTGTCATTTGTTTTCTTTGCACTTGACGGATTGTTGTTGTTTCATGTTGTTTTCTTTCTGGTCCATTTGTGATGGTTGTTTTTTGTTTTGTTTTGTGTTCTTTTGCGTTCGTGCGTGTGTTGTTTGTTTGTTTGTTTGTTTGCTTGCTTGCTTGCTTGCTTGCTTGCTTGCTTGCTTGCTTGCTTGCTTGCTTGCTTGCTTGCTTGCTTGCTTGCTTGCTTGCTTGTTTCCTTTCTTATTTCGTTGTTGGCTCGTTTGGTTGCCTAATTGTTTTGTTTGTGTTTGGCCTTTCTTTATCTTTAGTGCTTTCTTTCCCTATTTATTTATTTGTACAGTCTGGTTGCGGTTTCATTTTTTCCTTTGATACGTCCTTCTTTCTTTCTTTATTTCTTTCTTTATTTCTTTCTTTCTTTCTATCATTCTTTTGTTGTTCATTACTTCTTGTGTTTTGTTTTCCTGTTGCTTCGTGCTGTTTTTTGCTTTGTGAGTTTGTGTTGGTTGTATTTATTTGTCTTTGTTTTGTTTGTCTGTTTGGTTGCGTGTTTTGTGCGTTTGCGCGTTTGTTTGTTGGGTTGGTTCGTTGATTGTTTGTTTGTCATTTGTTTATTTCTTTGCTGCTGGTTGTGTGTTGGTGTGTGTGGTACCGACGCCTATAGGAGCCCCTGCTTTTTGGCACATGTTATTCTAAGTCGTTGACATTTAATTACTAGGGCTTGCAGCTCACCAAGCAAAATGGAGTGACAAACTCCCCTGTTTTGGCGAGTTTTGCCCGCACTGTTGCATAGATGGCCCAAGGTTTGCGCAGAACGCTAGGCAAGTTGTCATTTGCTTGCAAGTCCTTTGTTGCCTTGGCGCAGTAAGCTACAGCTTCGAACCTTCCATACTTGCTGGTGCTCAGAAGGGAATGAGGGACTGAACCTGGGGATTCCCTTAAGGGAAAGCATAGGGATGGTTTATAGGGGTCATTGCATTTCTCATTCCCTGCCTATCGCACCAGCAAGGATACCTAGCAAGATGTTTTTCCCGTTTGGGCACGGTAAGCTGAAGCTTTTCTAGCTGCAAAGCGCAGGGGCTTCTATAGGCGAGGGTATCTTGTTTTTGCGTGGCTTTCTTGTTTGGTTGTATGTATTGCTTTTCTTTGTTCTTTGTTGTGTTATGCGTGTGTGTGTGTGTGTGTTCGTATGTGTTTGTTTGACTTGTTTGTTTTGTATGGTTGTGTGTGTGGTTTGCCTTTTGTGTTGTGTTGTTGATTTGTATGTTTGTTTATTTGCTTGCTTGTTTGTTTGGTTTGTTTGTTTATTTGCTTGCTTCTTTGTTTGTTTGATTGGTTTGTTTGTTTGTTTGTTTGTTTGGTTTGTTTGTTTGTTTGCTTGTTTGTTTGTTTGGTTGCTTGCTTGCTTGCTTTTTTGTTTGTTTGGTTGTCTTGTTTGTTTGTTTGTTTGTTTGTTTGTTTGTTGGTTTGGTTGGTTGGTTGGTTGGTTGGTTGGTTGGTTGGTTGGTTGGCTGGTTGGTTGGTTGGTTGGTTGGTTGGCTGGTTGGTTGGTTGGTTGGTTGGTTGGTTGGTTGGTTTTTGGGTTGGCTGGTTGCTTGCTTGCTTGTTTGCTTGCGTGTGTTTGTGTGTTTGTGTGTGTTGGCATGTTGGCGTGTTGGCGTGTTTGTGTGTTTATGTATTTGTGTGTTTGCGTGTGCGGGTTTTTGTGTTTTTGTGCTTGTTTGTTTTGAGTGTTTCTTTGTTTGTTTGATTGCTTGTTGTTCATTTGTTCGTTCAACTGTTTATATATTTGCATGTTATGTTTTTGTGCGTACGTGCCGGCTCGTGCGCGTCCATGCGTGAGTGCATGAATGTGTGCGCGTAGGTGCGTACCTACGTGGGTGGGCAGGTGGGTGGAATAGGCAGAAGGCTGGGTTTACAGGATTCTAGTTGTACCTTCCCCATGTTTTCCAGGGATCCTTCTTTTCAAGGAAACCATCAACCACCCAGGGGAAACAGCAGAGTGTTTGAAAGAACGATGGTTGAAAGAACGGGGAATCAACCCCTAAAAGGACTGCTTCGAACTTCTTCAAGCCAAAAGAACAATAACCTTCATCACGGAAAAATAATCAGATAGGTCTTCGGAGCATCCCCTTTTGTATGATACGGAGCATGTCTCTAGACAAATGATGAGCGTACCTATGGCTCACCCATGATGAAGCTTTTGTGTTTGGCGCTTGCATACTTCCAGTTTGTTTCTGATTTGATGTAGTTGACCAGATTCCTTCCCCATAATTTGTTGCCTTTTTGATTTTTGGCTTTGTTGGGGTGCCCTTTGTTTTGCACTAATCAGGTAAATTATGTAGTTTTTTGCGGGGGTCTTAAGTCCATCCAAGATTCTTGTTTGTACCTGCTTCTCACCATGCTTTCTTACCCCATGCGTTCTCTTACTCTTCAAGGCATGCCACACTCTGCAGGACCGGCTGCTGTACCAGGCATCAGTGGGACGTTTCATCAGAGATCTCGATGAGTTGGAGATGAAATTTGGCACAAAGGTGCTTTGCCAAAGGCAGAGGGAGCAATTGCTCGCCAACACTGTGTGAGGGAAAAAAGGCCATCGACTGAGCATCAAGAGCATAGAGAAACTGATAACCCCATATTAAGCAACCCCAGCTTATTAATTGGGGGGTGTTCCTCTCCAAAAGTGATGATCCACGAAACCCAGGGACACCCCCCTTCTTCATAAACTGGGGTTGATTAAGATGGGGTCAATATTCGTTGGAGAGGAGGATGGATGAGCATCTCACCCCAGTTTGCGGATTCGATATTGCGCGCACGCGCAACCTGAATCTCAGCTTCGAGTTCTTATTGACCTCCTTTTCTTATAGACCCACCCCAGACGCCCAGTGGCTACCTTTTTGCTACTTGTTGTTTTTTTTGAGGGGGGAAATGAAAAATCAACTGCACACCCAAGGAATAAAGCAGATGATGTGGTTTTTCCTCCATGGCCACGGGCCACGGGTCTGGGGGTTTTTCGGGGGATGTTCCGGGTTTGTTTTTTTCAATGCCATCAATGAATGCGATTGAGCTCTGGTTTCCTTCGCAAAAAAAAAGGCGCTGGCCGCTCAATAATTAATTGATCTGTGTGTGTGTGTGTCTTTAAGTTTGACCTGTTTTTGGTAGGTCTCAAAGGAAAACCAAAAGGAAGCACTACTCATTTTGGGGGTACCCCAAGAATCCTTTGGATGGATCCCAACCAAGTACCGAGAGAGCGGGTTCGATTCCTTCCATGCCCGTGGGTAGTTGCACATTCCCGGATTCGGGTCTTTTGCACCGGCACAAGTGGCATTGTTTTGGTTTCTAGGAAGGTGCAACCATCGTCAATGCGTCTTACTCGGATTTTCTGTGATGGCAGGCGGTTAGGTGATATACATATATTATCATATATATGTATACATATATATATATATAGTACTTGGATGTTCGTGGCCAAGTTAGTAAGTGGCTAGCCACCTCATAACCCACTAATGACTGGGTTAACCCCGCTAGAAGTGGGTTATAACTTAGGTTACCACCAGGTTACTAGCTTGGCAAATCGAGCACCAGATCCTTCACGACGAAAACCATGTCGCTTCCGTCCCCCGGCTTCGCGCAGCGCGCAGGACATGGTGGACAAGCTGGCCGCAGGCTCCTCAGAGCATCCTACTTGGGTCTTCGATTCGCCAAGTTAGTAACTTGGTGGTAGCCTAGCCCTGGGCTTCCCTCGTCTCCGTACACAGTCGTCCTCTCCCCACATATTGGTCTCTTGTTTGTTGTCTACGCACATATTTTTGCACCGGCTGCTTTTGGCAGGACATGCCATCATTTTCGGGCCTTCTAACGTTTTATTGCACAATGATGGTTAGATCCATGGCGATCACCGAGATGCAAGCACAAAGGGTCCTTACGAACCCGGAAGAAAAAAAAAGAAAAAACGGTCGGCTTGTGTTGGTTTCCCTCTATAAGGACACGCCCATTGAGGTCCAAAAAAAACGGCGTCTTGGAATTTCCATAGGCCCCAAATGGGCCTCAAAATGGATGTTGCCCTCAGGGTACCCGGGCTTTCTGCGGAGCACCCGGGCGTCCGGTGGCATTTCTTCGCCAAAACATCCGGTTCCTTTGGGTTTTTCCTTGGTGTTTAAGGTGGGTTTAGCGCACGGTTCCTCAGGTTTTGGTTGGTTTCGTGCGGTTTCTTGGTTTTTGTTTGGTGGTTTTGGGTTGGTTTCGTGTTCTTGCTCGCCATTATTAACAACCCGCAAGTTTCCGGCTTTTAGCCATGGATCTGAACATCTGAAAACGGCCAGGCCAGGACGCCGTAGCCTTCCAGGACCCTCCCAGTTGCAACCAGTGGATTCCGCCCATGGAAATCCACTGGGCATCTGAGTTAGGGACACCACCCCAACAGTAATTTTGGGAACCTAAACCCTAAACCCTAAACCCTATGCCACTTGACAGGGCCCAAGAAAGATCACCGAAAATGGGAAGCCTGGGAGCGACCTCAAGCCCTTGGCTTGCGATGGTGAGGGCTTCCGCCGGTCACATTGGGCTGATCCTTCCACTGGGCAACATGCGCGGGGGGAGGGGGGCGGTTTTGAGGGGACCTACTGTCTCACTTCCTGAGTTGATGGACTTTAAACTTTCTGGAAAGACCATTTTAGTTGTAAATACAAAGTTCAGACTGTTTTTGGCCAGTCAACTTGGGAAGTGAGGCCATTGGTTGGTGTCCTTTTGGGTTCCCAACAACCAAAAAGGGTACCCGCAGAAGAATGCAGACGCATGTGTGTTTGCCCACCAGCCTGCAAACAGGTTAAAATATGTGTTGCTTTGGGGGCGTTGCTGCCACATGGTGATTTTTGGTTCCAGATCCCTGAGTTTGAATTCGCCCATATGGTTGCCACAAGGCTTCATGTCGAAAGAGTCGTCGTTCTTTTCCGCCCCGTTTCCACCCCAAGGAAGCTGAGAAGATCATCTCACTTGCCCAAAGCCGACCTGTTGAGATTTTAGTTCCCCTTTTTGGGTTCCCAAAAGCTTAATCCTTTTTTTCTGGGTCCTTTGGGCAAGTCAGAGATGCTTGCCTCTGACTGATCGCCTTCTTGCCTGCGCGTTTGGAGTGTCCGTGGTTTTTCATTTGGTTGGTCCAGGGATTTGGATGCTGTTGAGTTTCATGGCCAGCACTGCGGGTTGATTTAATTCGGTCTCATCGAAAGAGGAGTTTGAACGTGGATTGTGCGCATAGCATTGCTTTTCGCTGTTTCCGCTGTATTCACAATTAGCAAAGTCAAATCAATGGAAAGCCTCACCTAGGTTTCAGATTGGCCGTTTACAGGCTGCAGATGGGCGAACCGGATTTGCTGTTATTTATGGGGGTTGATTCCCCATTTCTCTGCAACCAGAGCCAGCCGTTGTTCCTCGGTGGGTGATTTGCTAGCAGTTGCGTCTTTGCACTGCGCGCAGCTGTTTGATGCTCGTGATATCCATCCCGTTCCGATTAGCACGGAAGAGCAGGGATCGAGCATGTGGCATGGAACCACGGAGAACCAGCATTCAATGCTTTCGTACACCATTTCACACCCGCCGATCCTTCGGCAGAGAACGTACTCCTAGACTCCAGCTGCATGCAACCAACGGTCCAAATTGTACAGCCTCCCAGCAATGCCGCATGTCATTTTGCGGGCGTCGACCCAGGGCATAAATTCTCCATTACCACTTGACCGGAACTGCAACCATTGACCCCCACCAACCCATTTCAGTTTTTGACTTTGGGATTCTGCCAACCACCAAAGGAAGCTGAACATCAACAGGTTGGGGTCCAAACCCTTTTGGGGTCCCGTCCTGAACCAATCCACCCGAAGAAACCCCTCGAACCAGTTTTCCAAATGGAACCAACAGGAGGCCTTTCTTAAGCCATAGACAGGCCTTCCGCATTCAAACCCGCTGGAATTCGGGGTCTTTGTACATATACAGCACCTCTTTGATTTTCCGCCGCAAACCAACCCTGCAAAGATACGCGATTTAGGGAATCCCTTAGGCAAACAATTAATATATTTCGAAGAAATTGGAACAGACACAGGTGAAATTTACGAATATTAAAAAAAAAAAAAAAAACTCGTCTCTTTTTTTTTTTGCAGCGGGCATCTCCAGCGGACCCCTGGCTTTCCGTTCCGCTCGCGGCCGGAAACTAGCGGATTTCTTCAGAGCCAATGGCGCGGCTGAGCACTGCGGCAGAGCAGGTGCAATGCACGTTGATGCCGTGTCTTTGCTGCGCCTCGGCGCGCATTTGGCGTTTGGCGCGCGTTTGGTCTGTTGGAGCTGGTTGAAACGTCGCCCTTCGGAGTCTGGCGGGTTCTTGAAAGAGGGGTCGTCTTTTGAGGGCGGTTGCTCAAACGCCCGGTGGTTTTGGTGGTTTTGGTGGTTTTGCGGAGGGTGGCCCTGGCCCTCTACAAAAGTCACCTCCCTTTGGAATTCTTCGTGGGTTCTTGAAAAAGAGCTCGGGGTCGTCTTTTGAGGGTAGTTCTAACTTGGGTAACACCACCATTTTGGTGGGCTGTGGCCGTGGGGTTCATGAAACGATGGAATTACCATTGGGGAAACCACGAAGAAAGATCACTTTCACCACATGGGAGAAGTTACCCACGGCCCATTTTGAGGCCCATTTTTTGCTTCGGCTTGCAAGTTGACTCTGGATAGAAGTTACCCATGGTCTTAGAGTCTTTTTGGAGCCGAACGGAAGTTTTGATCAACCCCCCCCCTTCAGGATCCCATGGCATTCCCTGAAAGCAAACCTCAAAGAACATCTCCAAAACAACCGCCGGCTGTTTTCCACGGCGTTGCGTTGCCGGTGTGGGACGAACTTAACACTAACAAAGGGGGCCGAAATGAGTATTTTATTTCAGGCCGAAGTCATGCAACAAAAAAGGAATTTGGAGCCCCCAGCCAAGCAAAGATGTGTCCATGTTCCATACCAAGGGACCTAACCTGCTCAGTGGGGGGACGTTTCGTGAGAACTTGGGCACAATCCCCACATGGTTCACTTCAGGCCAGGGGGCCCCAATCATTCGCTGGTCCATGGACTTGGCGCGTTTTTTTTGTTTTTTAACGTTTTGTTGGTTGAGTAAGTTCACCTGGACCCAAATTTTGGGGGTCCCCCAAAAGGACTTTGGAGTTCTTCTGCGGTTTTGGGGGTTCCATGTTAATTCAACCCGCTCAGTTCGACAGAGAAAACAGAAGGAAGCCAAGCACGAAAGCACGACACGGCCTTGCGCCAAGCTGTCGGAGTTTACCCCATAATTCTGGGGTTGCCAGAATTCCCATTGGGCTGTGGCTCAAAAAACCGGTACCAAAATGGGTTGCCCGATCGGTAAGTGGAAACATGGAAGACCTGCGGTTTGCCCCTCCAGTTTAATTCTGAGCCTTACCCATTTTTGAGGCAGGGCATTTTGAGGGTCCAGGTGGAGAGGCCGCTTCTTCAGTGCCAATCTTGCTTTCTTGTTTGTCGTTTAATGGGGCCATCAGGACCATTACTGGATGGCTGTTTGGTTACGGACCTTTGGACTTTCGCTTTTGCTTGAAATAGTGGATTTTCCATACCTACAAAAGTTCAACTTTTTGCAGAGGGGTCAACAGCAACCAAGATTCAGTGCCACAACCTTCCCCTCGCCCTTGTTATTGTTGCTGTATGTGACTCTGAACCTGTACTGGATTCAATCAGGGTAGTTTTGGGCTTGCTTTTTTTGGTCAGCCTCAACCTTTCAGTAAAACCTCGCTCTTCACTTAAAGCGTTGGTCCAATCGTTTGCTCCATTTTCTTCCCTTCAAGGCCTCGCCCCAATAAAACTTAGAGGTACTTTGGTGTTTGGGGAAGGTAGCAAGCTCCCCCCAATTCAGTGGAGTTAAACCTTGTTCTTCGTGGCTTATAACCCAGGTGGCTAACCACTTCTCTTTCTCCTTGAAAGCTGCCCCGAACCACCCCCTTGCCATCGGCAAAGGTTCGAAAATGTTTCCAGCTGTTCCGAATGTTCGGGCTTTCCTTTTTCGGTTTTCGGGCTTCTTTTGCGGGTTTCCTTTTTTTGTATGTTTTTTCTTTTATTTTTTTTCTCGGGGTTTCTTTTTTCGGGTTCCTTTTTTCGGGTGTCCTTTTCGGGGTTTCTTTGGGGCGCGGTTTTTCCCAAAGGCTTCCAGCGTCTTTTCTCGGGCTTCGTCTCTCTCGCTTCGGACACCGATTTTCTGGGCCCCGGCGCTCGTCGCGATGTCCGGATCTGCCCGAACCTCGAGGCAAGGCGCTGGCGGCGGCCGAGGCCACCTGCCGGGACCTGCAGAAGCTCATCGCCACAGGCCTGGTTCGGAGTCGGCTCCCGTTTCGGTGCCCGGTTTTTGGCTGGTCTTTTTTGGCTTTCGGTGCCAGTTCCTGGGTTGAGGTGGAGTGGATTCCCTACCAGCCTGAAAACTAGCCGGAAGGGAAATGAGTACCCAAAAATATACTTCCTGAGTTGAGCTTGCTTCAAAACCGATTCAGGTAGTCGAAGGGTAAGGGAGAATCCCCTTGCCAGAAATAGCTGCGGACATCCGCCTTCTTAATGCTTGAAGCATGGTTCTTGGTAGACCATTTTGAGACCGGGTTCTGGCAACAGCGCATCCGTTTTTTGTTT